TAGCTCGTTCGACCAAGTACGCGAGATCAGAGACCTTAGGGATCTCCTCTTATCTCGCTTTCTCTCTTTCTCTCTCTTTCGGTTTTCCCTCTATCTCACATACACACAGACGTATACTTTCATTCTTTTTCTTTCTTTCTCTTTTTTTTTGTTATCCTTCTGCTTCTCTTTCATTTTTTAGTGCCATCCTAACACACATTCTTTCTCCTACGCAAGTTCCTCCACTTTCCGTTCCTCTGCTTTTCGATTCTTTCGTGGTAAATTCTGCTCGTAGACTGGAACACAACGGAATTGTACAGATTAAACAGTTGTTGTTCGGGGACTCAACATAGTAGATTCTTCACGGTAGTCTCAGAAAAAGTTTGGAAGACGCTTTATAAAATGGGCTCCACCATATTCAAGTATGTCGCGGGAGAGAGTGCGCTCTGTTCTTGTGTTCCAGTCGAAAGAGCTTCAGTAATACCAAACAGAAAAGAGAACTGGTCGAATCGATAAGCAGTCATATCCGGCGGAAGCGATAATCCGGCATCGTACAAGTAATTGTCGGCAACCGATTGAAAGCGCTTGGGAGCTTTTACGGTTGAAGTTCCTTCGTGTGTTGTAGTCCCAATCGAATCCAATAAAGTCCAATTTCCACTGGAATTGCGCTATTGGCCTTATTTCGATCAAGGTGTGCACCAAAATGGCGGCACGGGCACCAACGCTCCGAAACGCACCGACCACCGCGCGTAGGGGCACTTGAGCTCGCTCGCAGAGGGAACTCGATCGATTTAATACGGGATCGTTGAGTGTACATCTTTTGACGATCGTCAGGAACTCGCAAGACGAGATCGAGTCCACGATGGTGGGTGGTGGTGACTGTAAGGTCGCCACCGTGGAGGTAGAGGCAGCCGCCGCTGGCGACAATACGGCGACACTCCCGGTCACCAGGCCTCTGAACCCGCAAAATTCACCGCCAAATGCACAGGACAACGCCGAGAAGAACAACGCCGCGAACAAAGAGATGGAACTGAAGAACGTGCGATCGACTCCAGCGAAAAAGTAAGACTTACGCTGTAGAGACGAGGGAGTCGTCGTCGTAGGCAGAAAGATCATAATTTAAAAACCACCCCCGCGTCCATCTCTCATTCGCGAACGTAGCACCACCACTAGTAGCTCGTTAGTCTCATTCTCGAAACCTTTGCCGAAATTTCATTAAAGACGACGGGTATCTTTCCATGTTCGCAAGTGTACGTGCGAAAATAACAATTCGTTTATTCTTTTTGTAGGTAAAAATTGTCTGTTATTTTTACATTATTTTATTTAACATAAAAACTATACGCAATAATAAAAATATATACTGAGGGAAAAAATGGTTAATATGAGCAAAAAATATGGTTATTCTGGCATCCACTGTATATTCTTGTTCAAACAACAAAAAGTAGCACACAGAAAAAATATCTAAAAAATAAAAAGATATTTATTTAGTGTATAAATATTTACTTACACTAAATATATATTTTTTAACTCAAAGAAAATTTTTTTTTAATTGGGAAAATATTAATTTTTTAAAATCTGCAGTTTTTCATAAAAACAACTGTTTATACTATTTAAATGAAAGAATGTAGATATATGGAAATGAATATGTTATTAATATCAATCGTGAATAAATATTTATTATTTTGTAATGTTTTTTTCTCAATGTGTAATAATAATATACATGTAAGATATTTATCTCATTAACACTACAACATCATACTTACTACATAAGTGGTTTTCCTGATTGGAATTTTTCACTCTATAATTATAGCCATAAATACAAAACACTTTTTTCTCAGTGCAATAATTCTCAGTGCAATAATTGGGCCAATGTGTATGCCGGGATGCATAAAATTCAACCTCTTTAGCAGAATAAAGTCAAATCAAGCGTGTGTGATTTTTCTCACAAAGAATATCGACGATTTATCTCGCACTCGTTTAAAGGAAACAGTTTACTATCGCACAAACTGAAGCGTGACTACGTTACCCTCGCATTGCCTGTAAGAACAGCCGGCTCGTGAGGAAATAGTAACAGGGGCCCAAAATGGAAACGAGATAGTCGAGTTTCGGTTGGCGTTTCTATTTACGACATAGTTCGTTAACCCGCGAGCAACTTGACGACCGGCGTGACGCTCGTGTCACGTATATGGGTGTCGTACGCGACACACCAAACTTCATTAATAATTAAAACTTTATTAATAATTAAAACTATAATAATTCAATTTAACTAAAATTAGACTTAATTAATAATTAAAAATCTGCGTAATCATCTGTAAAATAGTAGATTTTTGTTCAGTTGGATGTAATATATAAACATGAAGGCAAACATCGTCATCACAACTGGTCTACCGTATTGCGCATAATTATTTACAAATCTTCTTTAATTAATAACTCAAAATATCACGTGGTTGTTTGCGAAATGGTAGAATTTTGTGTTCAACTTGATGAGTTGTACCTGCATACAACAGATGTCATTAATTGTCAAACATCCTATATACATAGACTCAGCGTTTCGCAAGAGGCTGCGAAAACTTAACCACACAGAGAGAACGATTTATTGAATCAAATAAATGTTTTTTTTGAATAGTCCAAACGAATTATTTAATTGACACGACAAAAGTATTTCTTTGGAATTAAGCCGCAAATAAATATTTTGCGTCAAACAAAATTTTGTTCGATCAATCAAAAAATTCGTTTGGACTATTCCAAAGAAGTATTTATTTGATTCAACCAAATCGTTCTCTCTGTATAGAAAAGGATGTTCTACTAGTGTGAGCATTCGATCTTTGTCTAGCTTGACTCCTATTGAATACTTCGTCTTTTTCCAATAGTCAAGTTAGACGAAGGTGCAATGAACAATGGAAGGGGAATATACTGCTTCAAATCTTGTCTTGAAATCTCGCATAAGAAGCGCCTGTGTCTATGTATACAAGCCTATGATGAGAACTCTCGCAGGCCAATACGTGTACTTGTTTACGCTGCTCGAGACTTCGACGAACATCTAGGTTGGTCTGGGTGACTCCCTCCGCAGACGTTGACACAGAAGCTATAAAAGCCCGTGGATAAATCGGACAGTTGGCGCGCTACTTTTTTAATTGACTAATATTGATTTGACGACAAACGTTGCCGCATGCACCTTCGCGACGAATGGATGTCTCCGGATTACTACACAGTCGCAGTCGCAATTGCATTAACATGGTCTCGCGAGCTGATGCCGTTGGTAGTCTACGCGTTGTATCCGCCGTAAAACGACCTCTCCGCTCCGTTGCGGATATTTCTCTGTTTCTCTCTCTATCGCGAGCAAGACCCCTGTGAAATTTAATTAATCCGGAGAAATTAGAGTTCCCCCGGCTGTTCCGTTCCAGCGAGAGACTAGAGCGCGCAAGATCCGACGTTAAACCAGCAGTGCTTGGTAAAAATTTCCGAGAAACAGTGTTGTGTTATGACGGCGAGATAAATAATTGTTTGGCATTGCTTGAGATACCTAAAATGAATTGCGGCATAAATAACGCTCGTCGAAACGAAGAGAAGAAGAAATTCTTCCGACAATTGTGATTGTCAGAATCGCGCGAAGAAAAAATCCATCGGTCAAAGAACCGTAACGTCAATCGATGCAAACCGGGTTACCGCCTATCGTAAAACTACTAGCAACGGTTGCTCTCGTTTGCCATCGCGAAAGCAAAGAATAGGATGTGAGTGGACGTTTGAAGAGCTGTAGGTTTTGATGAATCAAAAGGATGTACTATTCGACTGATCATCTGGCTATAGGAAAGACTGGGTTTAGTTGGCTCAAGGGGTATGTCGGTCATGCACTTTGTCTACGTATTTATCATGAGAAACAGTAAAAACAAAATCGCAAAATGCCTTTTTTAAAACATAGATATTTTCTTTTCTGAATTTCATTAAAATCTGAATAATATTAAAGTTAAAAATAAAAATACTGCATTAGCTAAGTTTACTTTTAAGCGTCTCGAAATTTGATATTAATATTCTCCATCGCGCATGAGTAAATAAACTTAAGTGATATGTTATTAGTCAGAATGAAGTTTCCTGCAAGTCTATGATAAACTGTTTCGAATAACAAAAACAATTTTCATTCATGAAATGATTAAAATCGAGCATATGGGCGAACTAAGTTGGTCACTATTTAAGATCCGGCAGGACTGTGGAGACCTCTCGCGGAAGCCTCGGAACTACTAATCAAGATACATATTTTATATGTGATCTTCTTTTACCCCGACTTGCTAGCCAACTTGACCTGGCGCCAGGGCAAAATGACCATGTCGCAATGTACGCATTCGTAATTCGGTTATTACAGAAGAAAATGTACAGTTTATAGAATCGTTGCGGAGAGAGAGACATGAAAAGATAGACAAAAGGTCTCTATGATGTCTATACAGTCAACCACAATAACTAGCTGCCTAGAAAATTGTAACTTTGAAATTCTGAAAAATGTGCCATCTGACTTCAGTTTCCTTTATCTAGTCTTTATAGGAAAGAAAGAAAAAGGTAGCTGTGTGGAGCATAAAGATATTGCTTATAAAAGTATAGTGTTCCGGTATAAATGTTATATTAAAATTTGAAGTAACTTCTGAAACTTCAAATTAAATCTGCAATATCTTCTGAGTTACACAACGGAATTTGCAACGAGGATTTAAACTATTTAACAATTTAAATTTAAATTGCACTCTATATGGGTAGTATATCCATAATAAGAAGATTCTATCAATATTGTTTTCTTTTTTTTTCACTGAAAAATGTCGGAAACGTTTGGATAGATTTGATACAAGTGTGCGTTCGGTGCTCTATTCTCTATTTTATTTTCACCATCAAGTAGGTTGCACAACTGAGCTTTTGCATTGGCTGTTATTGGCTTTCTTGCTCTTGTTAATTAAACTATTTAAAACGTTGACTGCAATTGTCACAGGGATTATTAGGAAATTTTATGTTGTTAACACCATTTTCAAATCAGCATGTTATTTTTTAATATGCTTATCAATTATATTTATTATTCAGTGAAACTTACAATAAAAATTTATTTTCATGATAAAATCTACACGAATTAACTCGCATACAGAGAATTTTTTGTATACTGAGTCACAAAACGGTTTAGACACATTTCGAGCACTGAAGTTGCAGCGCTTCGAGATGTCAAAATTGAGAGCCACTGCTGATGCATTTGCACATGAGTCGATTATAATAGGAGCTAAAGTGACAGTACAGGGTGTATTAACTCGTTATCTTATATTTATTTTCATACTCTGTAATATTTTCACTTCGGCTCCTATCATAACCGAAATGCGTCTAAACCATTGTCATTCAATTGTCACTTCGGCTCCTATCATAACCGAAATGCGTCTAAACCATTTTGTGACTCAGGATACACCACCTACGAGGCAACTCGTACTTTTGCAATCAATGTGTTAGATTCCACGCGGCCGACTGTGAAATATGCGAACGATTAAATTCTCAAAACGGTTTCCGCAAAAGTCTCGCGAGAAGGTTAACCGCGGAACGAAGACGGGGCGAGGTTAAACCCATAAGAGGGCGAGGAAACAGGGAGGAGCACCGGCGCCGAAAGTGGGTACTTGGAGATATCGACCAGCCAGTCTGGACCGTTCCATGCCCATGTTACTGTAACCATTTTCTCGTTCTTTCCTTGTTCGCGACTGGAAAAAGTCTGACTGGAGCGTTACCTCTTCGCCGCGTAGTGGAACAGATTGCAAGCCACTTTTCTTCGATGTTGTTGCCGGTGTGTTCTCGTTTATCGCGGCACTTTGAGCTTCGGGAGCAGCTGTCGCCACAAACTCACTCTTGCTCGTGTAGAATCTACCAGTCACGAACATTAAATTGTTATGATTGCAAAAACTGCGTGTACGAAAGAACTGTGCACGAAGTAACAGTTGTTTCTGTATTAATTGTCATGATAAAAGAACTTTAACCCTTAAACGACAGACGAAGTTATGATACATGAATGAACAAAGTAGGGTCATACATGTGACACTAACATTTTTTGAGTTTATATTTTTCTTTTGTATGTTAAGATTCATATTAGAATAAATAAACAGCAGCTTAACAAAATATTTTTATTGTATAAAAATATTTTTTCAGGATAATTATCTAACTTCAATGCGAGCATGTCATGTAGTTTCAATGAACCGCATTGAAAAATATATATTGATTGGAGTGATTATTAACTCCACCTTGTCGTTTAAAGATTAAAAATAAATACCTGACACCACAAGTGAGAAAAAAACAGTGTCTGTTTCTTGCCAGTTTTCAGTTGTGAGATTTTTGGAATTTGCACAGACTGCAGAAATAAGGCTTTCCAAGAAACTTACAGGAAATAGGACATCGGCACTTCTCCCCCCAAGGTACATATATCCTAACGAGATTTTCGATAACTCACGAAGAGCTGACACGTTCAATGATCGCACAAACGACATTAGAAATTCGCCTAATGAGATGAGCAGACCGAAACACTACCGAGTAGTACCCAAGACGAGAAACGTATTCATCGTCATAGAAACGTTCTTGCCTACCAACAGCCCAATCGTGGCGAACAATAGCTGCAAAGTCCGCCTGATCGATTCAATTAGAAACGGATAGTTACATGGTTCCACAGTTGATTAATATCAAAGGATTGCATTTGCGTCTTGTATTTCATACGCTTAGGCTTAACTTTTCAATAACAGTTTAAATTCTGTTTAAACATGCCAAATACATTATTAGGACAAAGCTGAGACTTAAATCTAAGCTTAAACCACCGTTGAAAAATCGACCCTCACTCGTCTGAAGTAAGTTCACGCGTCGCAAAGCACGTTAGATTTCAACCTAACTTAAGCACCGTTCAAGACGCGCGGACAAGGGAGCTTTTCAATATACGGATACCCTCTTCACTACGGGTGCATTGGCCGACTTATAATCAATTTTCTTCCACCAAGAAAAGGCATCGCGATAAATAACAACCCTCTTCTGTATTCTCGTCCTCGGAATAATCCAGAAAGCCGCGATTAAAGGACACGTCTGGTGACTCTAACGCGACCTGTATCCGATCGATCGCAAGTAAACACAGGAGCCGCCCAGCAAGCTTTAAATAAAAACGACCGTGCCGACACGCTCTCCCGCAAGGCGGGAAATATCACCGCCTTTGTCATATCGCGCTTCACTCCGCGCTTGACACATCCGGGAGAAAGGGGAAGAAAAAAAATACCTAACACGAGTGTACCGGGCTCGTGCGGGACACAATAAAGCCCGCGCCCCAACCCCTGAAATGCCACGTTGACAAAGGGCGGTTAAGCCCTTCTCGACGTAGACGCACCGCAATACGTGCGTCGCGCGGCGACGACGACGACGACGACGGCGGTGGCGACGGCGACGCGCGGGCGTCGCTGCAGCGAGCCGATGCAATTGCACCACGCGGAGCGGCGCATCGCCGTCGTTGCTGCCCCTGCTGCGTGCGCGCGCTGTGCGCGGCCCCGTTTCCCCGTGGAAAAACCTCATTTCCCGCGCGATTGATTCCCGGTGAGATCGCGTCGAGTTTGCGACCGGCATTATGTGCACATATACGTGCGCACACTCGCACATACACACCCACCACGCACCCACACACACACATATGTGGACTATCGATTATACCGCCTAACCTTTAAGCGAGAAAAAGAGCGTGATGAGGATGAGGCGCGAATAACTTCGTCCGAGATGCTCGAGCGGCAGTCATGCTCGTCGATTAAAAGCGAATGCACCAGGTCAACTGTTATCGAAGATCGACCCCTTTGCCGTCGCGTTCCGCGTAGCAGTCCGTGCCGCTCGGCCCAAGATCAAGTAGTGCTCGGCCAAAGTCAACGAAATTGTAGCATCCACAAAAATGTTGTCTGCCCGAAATCGCTCTCGCCTCTATCAAACAGTGCTCGAACGCGAGAGATTAACAAAATTGTAGCATTCACAAAATGTCGTTCGCTTAAAATCATTCCCGTCTGTGAAATAAATACTGTGACAGTTGAATTGTTGCGGTTTTGTGAATGAACGATACGTTTAATGAGCCGGCGTCGAGTACGAGTACCGTTTAAATCTAATGACAGCATTATTTCCGTTTTACGAATGAACGATACATTCAGTGAGCCAACGTCGAGGGGGATTCTGTTCATCAATTCTTCGCTGAGAGCGAGTTATGACTGCGCGCGAGTGATATAACTTGAGGTTCTTAACCCTCAGCGGTACAGTCGTCGCATGGGGTCTTTAAGAGAATATTATATTCAAAACAATCTTTTCTTATATTTTACATGAACCCAAAAACCTAATTAAACAAAGAAAATATTTAAGTTCTCAACATAAAAGATATAAAATAATTTTTATATCGGGGTCTCTCAAGATCCCATGCATCGACTCGTGTTCGAAAAGTAGCGCGACGACTGTAGGATTAAACGACAAGGTGAAATCTTGGAACATGAATAGCAAGGTGGGGTCATATATGACCCCAAATTTTTTTCTTTTTCTTCTTTCTTATTAAAATTTATATTAGCATAAATAAAAAGTGGTTTATTTACACGAACATTTTTTTTGTATGAACATATTTTTCAGTGCAGTATTGAATTTTGTGCACAAATGTATCACAAAGTTCCAGTGAATTGCGTTGAAAAACGTATCAAATGGGGTTGTCGCTAACCCCACCTTGTCGTTTAAAGGTTAAAGGGCTGGAAACCAACATGACGCAGTTTTCATATTTTGTACTGTTTTTCTATTGGATTGTCTAGAATTGCAAGTGTTTATACAGAATGAAAGTATCAATATATGACGGAGTGGCTCATGTTATGTCAAAAACAAAAAAAATTTGTAAAGGAAAAATTGGAAGAAGTTTTTTTCAATTTTTTATGTAATATATGGCATGCTCCGACACGCGTTGACATTTGTACTTTCACTCTGTACAAGGATTTGCACACAAGCAAATGAAAAAACAATGCAAAGTTACATGCATGTCGATATCCAGCATTCTCTTAACCTATATCTTTATGTTTAAGTTCACTCTAATCCAACAACGAAGCAAATTACTTCGTTTTTTAATTTAGTTAACCGTGCGGTCTCAACTTATGTTAATTAAGAATTTTAATTTGGATAATAGATTAAACACACAGTCGTCGCGACCCTCCAGTCGCGTAATTCGACCCGAGACAGAACTCGGTCAAGTTTATTATTATAAACAATCGTCACACAGTGGCCGGTGGCAGAAAAAGCGCACGTGAGTATAATACGTGTTGCGCGGGCTAAATGGGAATATCGAGGACGAAATTATATTCGGTGAGAACAATGAAAATTCGATGAGTTCAAACGTCATAACATAACCGAAAGACGGGAATAGAAATAGCACCACTCGGGTTGCGCGCGATCGCGGGCGCAACAGTCGACGTTCGTTAATAATCGAAGTAGGACGCGATGTAGGTTACGTGTAAAACGTCTGTGACGGCAATAAATAAATCAATAAGTGATGGATTAATTAAAGCAATTATTAAAAATTAAAATAAAAAAGTGAGTACAGTAATGTGTAACAGTGATGTGAACGTTTATTGGTAAAATAACGATTGCCCGCGGGATAAAGGACTAAAGGGTTCCACGTAAATAAATGTACAGAGATAATCATTTAACTCTAAATATTTAAAAAATTACTCTAAAAAAACTCTAAACTCTTTCCAGCGCATCTTTTTTGCCTATAATTCTCGGAAAAATGATCGAAACTTAATGTTTTTTTTTTAAACCAAATAAAAGATCGTCATGGAATATGATTCTATTCATATTTTTTGCGATTTAATAGAGTTAAGAAAAGTTAAGAGAAAACAAGATGTTTTCAAGAACGGTACTCTCTTAAAATGAATCAGTCAAACATCACTGAAAACAGTGAATATATACTGATTTGCAGTTATAAGTATAACACTGAAAGTGCTCAGTTCTATACTCATAACTGATATCAGTGAGTATTCACTGATTCACTTTAAGAGAGTAACGTTTGAAAAGTCGGTCTGAATAAATTTTACTTACGTTTAAAGTTCTCTAGACTTAAAAAAAGACAGTGAAATAATTCAAGGACACTTAAAGTTATCTCAGCGTGTGACGTTTCTGGTGACGGCATCATGGAGGTTGAGGTTATACCGTTCGTCGACAATAATAGGAGCCGAAAGGACACCACACCACCGCTGCTACCACCGCGAGGTAGCAGGGTGCAAATTATTCAGAGGAAACGGTGAGAAACGGTTTTACTCGAACACGAGCTTTTAACGCGCGAATGCTCGAACGGAACTTCCGTTCCGACAGATACAGCCGATTCTTATCGTGTCGCGCGCGCACGGACTATTTTCCCAGATAACACAAATGTCTGAAAGACATCTCGGAGACGTCTGAAAGACATTCCACTGTTTCACTTTAACTCTTTGAGTCCTACTTCTTTATTTTGAAAATATAGCCTTACTTTAATAGAGAGATATAAATAAATGTTTAATATCAAAATGCAAAATAAGTATCATCAAAAAGGTCAGATCAGAGTAGGTGTCAGCAAGAAAAAATTAAAAGTATTTTTATTATGAGAAATCATAGAAAATGAAGGAAAAAAATGTAAGCTATTTTTTCAAAATAAATAAACTATCACCCCAAGAGTATTTTATTAAACGACGTAGACGAATCAGTCTCATGAACATGTAATGAACATGTTTTTTTCGTGTGAATATTATATCGTATTCTTAAAGATACGCCGAGGTTCAAAGAGTTAACACGTACTTTTGACGTTTGTTTAGTCTAAGTTAGCGCCGCTTCTACTTATTATTACGAAACGACAGCTGTCATCTGGCTAAATCACGGCCAAGATTACAAAAACACGGATTTCTTATTTCAGAACGTCGCTGTTCATCATCATGAGCTTCATATACGCGAAGCTGCTCGTGGTCGTATGCATCGCCTACGTGATAAGCGAAGTGGTGACGCACAAATTGCCGCTCTACTACTACGAGGGATTCTTTACATACCTGTACGGCATGAGTATTTTGTTCCTGTTGTACGTTTTCTGCTTCCTTCTGCAAGAAAGCGCCTGCTGCGCCAGAGGCAGCGACACGCCGCCACCGCCACCGAGGCCGCCAAAAGCCGGCTGGGTGCCTAAAGAACCGAAGGATAAGCTGAAGAAGAAAGAAAAGAAGGAAAAGGAACAAAAGGCGCCAAAGAATAAGAAGGAAAGCCAGGTGAAACTTTGGATTTCTTTGTAAATGTAACTTACAAAGAAGTTCTTTGTAAATTTGTCGGAATGAGAGATTCGTGTATCTGAATTCTTTCTGAATTTCTCGGAGTGAAATTCTACTCGGAAAGTAGAGTAAAATATTTAATAGCAATCTTTTTTAATCTAAACATTAAGTGTATGGGGATTAAAAATTGTTAAGTACTCGTAATAGTTAATAAATCCGCATGCATCTCAATATTTTATATAATCCGCGCAAGAGAGACTCAAAACTGGCAAATTGTCAGCTACTTAACGTTTTATCGTAGAATAGCAGGCAAGTTATTCAAATTAAAGTAATTTTTCACTTATACAAAATGAATTTTCTACTCTAAAGACTCCTAATCTCTTGCTGCGGAACTCTCGATTGATGACGTCAGAAACAAGAAAACCATAAAATGATCCTTAAGATTGATTAGGCATATTTGCAAAATATTTGGAAAAATTTCTAACAATCAATAAATAACTGTAAAATTAACGTCATGCAACCTTTCATTTTAGTCTATTTTTCCTCATGATTTTGCTCCTAATTTTACGGCTATTTATAAATTATTAGAGTAAGAAAGCTTTTGGACTATTTTACAGATGTGATCTCAATCGATCACAAGTGTCATTTTATGGACATAATCTATTATTTTAGTATTTTCTCTGAAAAAATATTGGGCATATGTTTTCTCACTTTTCCAATGTCATTAATTGAGATGGCTGGGGTGAGGACACAAAAGTCTTAATTGCCGAATGAATATTTTCACTCGAAACTGAAGAACGAATCCACACTCCAGGAAAAAACTTAATCTGCTCAATTGGAACATTCACTAATACACTGAGAGAAAATCGATAAAAAATTAATAAACGGATATTTCCGATCATAATAGTATTTCGTCAGATAAAAATCGATCAAAAACCAATAAAAAAATTATAAACCGATATTTTTCATCGGATCCTTGATCGGGCACAAAAATATATCGGTATTTTTTATCAAAAATACCCATTTGTTAATTTTTTATTGGATAATTCCTCTCAGTGTATGGGTTGAGAATCCATTGTAACTCGAGTGAAACGTCATCCTTATTAATAATACATGATTCCGCGTGGTAGTATTTCCACGAACGTTTTAAATAAATTTTCACTCGTTTTTAGTGAGATTTCGTTCCGAGAAATTTAGAGAATATTGTGTACGTAAATTTTACGAGCTTTCGGAATTTCTAAGATATATATATCGTCTTTATTAAAGAAAAAAAAATTTCTAAGATTATTTCTAGCAGTTTACTCCAAATTATGAAGTGTATATAAGAGTGACTCACCGCAACAGGTTACTAATTTCGTTTCGAGCGGGTTTCACGGCTACGGCAATGGCATGTTTCCCATGAAATGTATTTTCGTTAGCGTGACACTCGGGTTACGCGCGGATACTCTTGACGCTGACGTAATCAGACGAATGGCTATTGTCATTCGTATTTTATGCCAACGATATTTCTAACCTCTCCGCAGACATTTCTTTAAAGCAAATGAACGCTGGTAAGGCGTTTTAAGCGTGAACAACCTTAACAAAGATTTATATTCGTCGTATCTAAAGTTTCCCGACACAAAATGATTAACAAAAGAGGAACATTGATATTAGGTTTGGCATCGGGTCCTTCCTCCCTGACGAAGCGAACTGAAATGTTCGCGAAACGTCGGAATCAGCCAAAGAAGTATTCACGCGGCTCAAACCCGGGAACCAAATCTAATATTCATGGACACCGCGAAAGTCTCAGATATCAAAGAGCATTGATCCTGAAGTTTTTAAAAAAGTTAAATCGCGATGAAATATACATTTCGATGACATTGCCGTGAGAGATATCGCTTTTTTGACAGGATGCAGCCGATGTCGAGGCCGGCGTGGCCACGCGGGCCCTGCGGAAGCGAAAAACTTCGCAGAATGATCATAGTCACGGAAGCTTCTTCCTCAGAATCGGCGCGATAGGTGAGCCAAATGCTTTTTACCGAAGCACTTTCTAAAGTCGTTCGCACGTAACGTCGATGAACTGACGTTTCGCACGATTTGTCAGCCTTCGGACTGGGCACGATGGTGTACAATGGCTTGGAATTCGGCGCGTTCTTCGAGGTGCCACCCACGTCACCCTGCTATCAGATACTGCAGGGCGTCAACCCGGTGCTGCAAATGATCTTCACCTTTATGCAGATGTACTTTATCTTCATGAATTCTCGGGTACGTGTCTGCATCGCGACAAAAGAGCACGATTTGAATTCGACAAAATGTGGATTGTTTCTCCTCACGGTATTTCTTCACAGTTGAACATACATCGCTTCAAAGTCATCGCCCGCTTCGGTCTGATGCACGTGGTCGCGACTAATCTCTGCGTATGGATACGCACTCTGGTTCTGGAGAGTCTCAAGGAGATTACTCAGTATCATAAGAAACTGGGTCAGGTTCAGGCGGGGATTCTCGGTAAGCGAGATCTATTTAAAGAATCAATTGTCACAATGATAGAAAACGCGCTACCGCGCCAAAAGCATTAGCTTAGCGCGGTGTAGTTCGAAGTCGAAGTCGAAGTTTGCAGTAGTTTGTCAGTAGTAGGATGTTTTTGTATCTAAGCATAACTCTCACGGATATTATCCAGATACCTGGAATTAGAAGGATCATTAAATGGAATCATATGTTATTCCTATATTTATATATACAAATTAATATATATACAAAAATTTAACAAAAAGGGTGAATTTTTGCCATGTTATATATATCAGATATTATATATTTTATTTTGGCATATTTTAACATATACTGATATAAGAATTAAATATTTTGTGAAGTATCTATTTTGTTGACCTTATTTACATATTTTTATATATTAAATGATTTAAAAACTTAACAAGAAATATTAATAAATATAAATAATTTGGTAATTCAAGAATCTCGATAGGAAAACATTCAAAACATTATATAACGAAACCTTTACATAACCATTATATAACGAATGAAAATTTTAATGTTGTAATTATTCAGAAAATACTTAAAAAATTATAAATTTTTTATGAAATATTGATAAATATTTGTGCAATTAATTTCTAAATGGTATTTCAGTAGCGATATGTGATGAATCATCTTAATAGAACATTTAAAAAATTAAATTTGGAAAAAATTACTCAATAACTGAGAAATATATTGTTTAAAACATTTGGAAATTGTGCATGAAAAAAGAAATCAAACTAATCCATGCTTTTAAAACATATACAATTATTCCTAAATTATAATTTAAAAATATTGTAACATAAAATATTATATATTCAAAGTATGGCGAAGTTTTACAATAAAGATTAAAGCGATTCTAAAAAAGCAGATAAATAAAAATATATAAATAAATAATAAATAAATACATAAATAAAAAAAATATATAAATACAAAGTTTACTTAGATATTTATGTGCTATTCATCTAAAACTTTTTTCATTTTCCTTTAAATTAGCGAATATTTAACTAATTTAATAATTCGAAATGTTTCGTTTGAAAATGCTGCAAATATTATAAAATGTTATTGCTGCATTACATTACGAAAAATATTGAAGATTGTGATTTTCTTTTTAAATATTGAAATAAATGTGCAATAATGAATATCTCAAACAAATACCCTTAATTAGATTTATCTAATTTTGGTCAAATATCACTTTGATATTATATTCCGACTAAATCGTTGCGGCGAATCATCTTAGCGCAATCATCGCAGAATTATACTTCATTTCATGATGTTATTATTGTACAATGTTTCAACAATTTTTTTTATCGGGGGAATGCCCTCCGGATGCTCAAGTACACGAGTAACTTGAAAAATAACCGAATATTTAGAATTGACGCTTGAAATTTGCAGAGAGCATTAAGCAACACTCGATGCGCAACGCCGGGGCGATATTGGGTACTGAGCCGCGCGATATGGCGCAATTACGAGAGGCGCCTCTCACCGCCGCCTCGAGATCGACGACTATCGGGCCGATCACCACCAGCACAACCGTGGCTGCTGCTCTGGGTCGCGTGATGAGAACAACAACGAGATCAATCGCCGACGTAGTCACCATGCCGACCTCCACGTCCACGACCACTTGGACGAGCCTGTCGACGACGCCGTCGACCACCACCTTCGCGCTACCCAACCTGACGACCAGCACGGCAACGACCCTGTCCACTCTCTTGACCACGTTTACGCCGACTACCACCACTACCAGCACAACCACCGAAAGGACAACCACTATTCCGACTACAACGAGTACAACCACCACCACCACTGCTATGCCGTCTACCAGCACTTTCTCCTCACTCATTATGGAGTTAATGAATGCGCCGCAAGCCGACGCAGATAATCAAGTACGGATTATGTCTCGTTATACTCGTTAAGAACGTCTTCCCTGCCACTACATAAAATAAGAGGCATCACTCAGATGCTGAAGACAAATATAAAAAGTTAATCGTATGTACTTCCTACATTTCTTCGGGTGCCACTCGAAATGTCACTCGAAAAATAGATCAATGGCCGAGTCTCTCGAATTCAAGTGACTTTTCACTCATATTATCCTGTCACTCATATTATTCTGTGTCACTCATATTATCGTTTTATTCTGAATCGTCGAGGTAATATTTTCTTTCGAGATTGAAGAGCAGCGATAAAATATATAATATAATGTACAGTTGCAGACAAAAAAGTTCGTAATTTTTTTGGGTGAGTTTGTAAACTCTCCGTTGTATCAAATAGGAGACTTTGTTCTTTGATGGGAAATTTGAACAAGACGTATATACAGAGTTCACATACGGATTCCAAAAATTGCAGACAATTTTTTGTCCACGACTTTTCTTACTCTATCTATACAGAAACAATTTTATTCTAATATTTCGGCCGAAATATTTGCTTACATGGATTAAAAATTAAACTTTAAATTAAACATGTTTTAACATTTTTGTGATTCGAAATAGAAGTATTTTCACTATCATTTCGTGTGAATTTGCATTTGTTTTGCTTCATTCTAAGAAATTTAAAGTACAAACATAGAAAGATTGGTATTCCATTTTACTGTCGCATTATTCAATTAGACATTTTTATTTTAAGATTCGGTTTCTCAGAGACATGCTCGTTTAGATATGTTCACTTTTTCTTTCTTAATCCAAACAATGTTGATGTAACAATATAACGAGCATTACTATGAATAAATTTTATAAGAAAAAGAAAAATATAATCACACGATTGTCAGACAGACGTCACTTAAGAATGACAAATTATTCTCTTTAGATTTTTAAAGAAATTCCCGATAACACCCTACTCTAGTATTCAAGGATCCTTATTGTGGCAGCAAAAATGACAATTATTCTTGACAATATGCGATAATTAAACCATGCCTTCCTCAGGTTCCGCAGATCTTCGATGTGAGCAACCTGACGAATAGCAGCGAGTTCTGGAGCCCGAATTTGGGTATCTACGCGGAAGCCTTGACGGAGGACGGCACAGTGTCGAACTCTTGCGGACGCGTCAACATCATGGGCACCATCGTCCAGGATGCTGCACCGTATCTGTTCCCGTTCATAATCGAGTACAGTCTGATCGGAGCTGCGGTGATCTATGTCATGTGGAAACACATTGGCCGGCATCCGCGTTGGCCTCATCAGGCCGAGGCGGACCTCGAACGTCGTCTCGAAGCTATGCTGTCTCGAAGAGCCGTCGCTCTCGCCCATGCAGGTATACTTGACATTTTCCTCCTAAATTTCTCATTACCATCAATTCACATTCGCTACCAATGTGATATGTGACGTTGGTACATAGTCTTATGAGAGACTATCAGATATTCAATCAACAAGAAATAGCCAACAAGAACTATGCAGATTAAGTATACAGTTGCAATTAATCACTTTTGCAGAAAAATAATAACCCATAATTTTGCCTCCTGTAACGTCGAACTGATCCTGTATCCCGATTATACGTTATATTAACAGAAAAAATGTCTAAAAAGTAAAATAACATTTATTCGGTGGGTACTAATAACATATTTACTTAAATCTAAATTCTTTTGTTTAAATAGAATATATAATTGCTTTCGTGGAAAGCTAAGACTTTAAGAAAATGTATATTCACTTATTTGAAAAATATTTTGCACCAGGAAATATGTTACTAGTGTACCCACCGAATAAATATTTTTTACTTCTTAAATATTTTTTCTCTCAATGTACTAATTCTACACTGAGAGAAATTATCCGATAAAAAATTAACAAACGAATATTTCAGATCAAATTCCGATCAATTTTTATATCCAATCAGGATGTTCAATTATATAAATTTAATCGGATACTTCAAATCATAATGGCATTTCATCAAATAAACCGATAAAAAATTATCTCCCGATATTTCTCATTGGATGTTTCCTGATTGAATACAAAAATTCATTGGTACTTTGATCGGAAATATTCGTTTATTAGTTTTTTATCGGATGATTTTTCAGTGTAAAGTATCCACCTATCTCAAATTAAAAAAACTTTCTTCTATGTTCACACTAAGTGTCAGAGTAAGTTTATTTTAGACAATTATGTGAAAAAAAAAAGAAAAAAAACATAGTAGTTTGTAGAGAAAATTCCCTAAATAGATTCTAGTGGCGAATGTGTTAAAACTCCTGGTCCCTCGCCGCAACTATCTTGATTTATGATGTCAGAAGAGCGAAGAAATGCATGTACTCAAAATTCCTGCAAAGTATGTCGAAATAAAAAGATATGTCCAAACAATGACATTTGCAATCGATTAAGACCTCTAAAATACTCCGAACACTTTTCTTTTTCTCTAACAATCAATAAATAACCGTCAAATTAACATGACATGCAAACTTCCTCTTTAATCTATATTTTCTTACTTTTATTAAGTTAATTTTACGTTTATTGATTGTTAGAGCAAAAAGAAAAGAGTATTTTATACCTGTGCTTAATCGATTGCAAGTGTCATTTTTTAGATATATCTTTTTATTTCGACGTACTCTGCAGAAATTTTGGATATACATTTTCTCGCTTCCGACGTCATCAATCAAGAGTGTCGCACTTAAAGATCAGGACTTTAATTTCAAGTCATAACGGCAAAGATAAAAGATGCCAGCGAGACAAAAATAACCAACTAAGACTCGACTAAGCTTACGAATATCACCTAATCTTTTCAAACTGTTGAATTTCGTTGTGAAAAGAAAAAAATGATTGTCAGGTCACGCTAGAGTCGACTGTGTGGGGGCGAGCAAGGGTCTCTTCTTCGGTCTGCTGCTGCTGGTGGGCTCCTTGATATGCTTGATCCTCTTCTTCGTGCTGATACATCATCCGGAGCTCGGGCTGCTCGCAATTTATCTCGCCGACGTGTCTCACTGTGTTCTGATGACGCTCTCCATCGTAGCCATCATTGTCGGCTTCATCCGCGTGCAGAGCCTGAAGTTCAAAGCTGAAGAACAGAGCGACCTCAACGACATCCTTCTGCGCGTCTCCGCCTTCGGCCTCTTCGTTTATGCCGTTTTCAGCGTGATTGCCGGTTCCTTGGCGGCGTTCACACACGAGCCGAATTTGCTCGTGATGGTCACGGGACTGCTGTCGGTCGCTCAAGTGGTCCTCCAGATGCTCTTCATCGCCGACGTGTCGCGCAGGAGAGTCCACCTGCCAGAGCACGATCGCAGCAAGCCCGGCAGGCAGGTAGTCACGTTCCTGCTGATCTGCAACGTGACCATGTGGGTGATTTACACGTTCGAGACTCAGAAGGTCATCGCCAATCCGGTGCAACTGGATTTCTACGGGTTTCTCGCTTGGGCGATCGTCCAGAGGGTCACCTTGCCGCTGTGCATCTTCCACAGGTTCCACAGTGCCGTGACGTTCGCCGAGATCTGGAAGACCAGCTACAAGGCGCGCCTGGAGTAGACGAGCACGGAGAACCGTCTCGTTATGGTCAATCGTCCGGAGTGGTCGTCGATTTGAGCGAGAGGGAAGAGTGAGCGGCATGAGCGGGTCACTAGGTGCTCGACGATCTCGATCACGTACATCGATTTCAGGTCTTGGTAAGGAGGCGGATGTCGAAGAGTGATGGGAAGTTAGCTCGTTAGATGGGAGGATAACTGGCGAGGGACGGGTCAAAGCCGGAATAATCAAACGTATATAATTAGCGTGTTCGATACGCCCGTTGCGCACGAATGGAAGATCCAGAGATGGATATCCAAGTCGTTGATAATTGTTAAGAATTGGAATTCCCATGAATCCAAGTTGGAAGTCGGAGATTTATCTAGTTGAAGCACCCTCTATCCGAAAAGAGACACTTGAGTGATCAAGTTCAAGGTGTCGTTCTTGCATCCTCGAAAAGGAATTTTAAGCAGTTAAGTGGAACCAGACACCACGTCGTGTCGAGTCACAGACTGTTCCTTTTCATTTTATCTTCGTTCTTCTTTTTCACTTCGTTTTGCGTACAGTACACTACATTTCCTTTTTTCTCCTTCTTCTCCCTCCCCTCTTGTTCTTTTCTTTTCCATTGCGTTGTCTTAGCATCGGTCGGTAAGGTCGGCGCGGAGCAATTGACGGACCAATGACGTCTGAACGATCGACGATCCCCGTGATAAATAATCTGATCGATCGGGGAGGCTTTCGCCGATTTCGGCGCAAACGAAGCACAAAAACGACAGAGTTATTAGCGTTTCACGAAAATCGCATTTCCTTTCACACCGTGCGTTTCTCACATTTCAACACACACGATCTCTATATACCGCCGCCAAATTTTCTACTTTTATATGTATACATTATATAATATATATATGTACCTTCGCCCTTCCCCCCCTCCCCGCCCCTCCCAATCGTGCATCACGAGCATCGCAAGCAATTCGGTTCACTCACGGCAATATTCGCATTGTCCAAGGGGAAAATTATTCGGCGTTTTCTTGCATTTCGCTCATTACGGATATATCGGATCGCTGTGATATGCTTTTTGCGGAGAGCTCGGTCGGCATCGGCGACGAATCTTCTTTCTTACATTCGTACGTTCGCGATGTTTGACTGGATATTTCGTATTTTTATAAGTCGTCGACATTGTGTCGATGGTAGAGACGCAAGATTAGCTTCTAAGTTCTCTTTTCTTTTTTTTTTTTTTTTTTTTTT